GGGGGAAGAGGAGGGGCAGAGGGGAGGCTGGAGCGCTTTCAGCCCTGAGCTAACAGTGGTGCGGATTAGCTGTTGTGCCTGTGTTGATTTGTTCCTTTCTTCCTTTTTTCTCCCCTCTTTGGTCAAAGATTCAGCAAATTTTGTCAGAAAAAAAATGAAATAAAGAAATGCCTAGCAGTGTCAGAGTTGATGGCATTTGTATTCAAAGTGTCTGCAAGAGGCCAGCTGTGAGCAGGGGAAGAAGGACGGGTGCAGGTCTCGTGTGTCCACACCCTCGGGGGGCCGTCTGTCTGTCCCTCTAAGGAGTGGGGTGCACATGTCCCCCGTCACTGCAACGGAGCCTCTCTTCATCCCCCCTCGTACCCCAGCTGTAATGGGAATAATCACCACCTGGACGAGAGTTGTAAGAACGTTCTGAATTGTGGCTCGACAATAGCCAATGAGGGAAAAGGAAGGTGCCTCTTCTCGGAGGAAGTAGCCCTGCATCGCTCCTCCTGCATCATGTGCCCTGAGATGGTCCTTAGGTCAAGCAGGCTGTCCTCACGCCCACGGGCAGCATGTAAGTAAGAGGATGGTGTTACTCCTGGCAGAATCAGCCAACCTAAGGAGAAGACCAGTGTCTCCATTTCAGGACTTGGGGAGCCGTGTGAACGTGCTCTCAGTCTCGGGCCTGTGGGCCGGCCAGCGGCCCGGGAGCCTGCCGCTTATCCTTTCACAGCAAAGAGTCGCTGAGTTTGGCCTCAAACAAACGGTGGAAAAAGCCTCGGTTGGAAAGAGAATGATTCCGCATTGCGCTGTGCCCACCTGCGCTCCAGAGGTGGGGATGCCGCCATGCCAGTGTCGCCGATGCCCAAGTGACCGGCCTGTGGCCGAGGGTTTCCTCAGTTCCCTTCAGCTCACGTCACACAGCTCTGCCCAGATCTGCCTCAGAACTGGAGACGGTTCTCCACGGGCGGGTTAAAGGTGCTCTGGTCCAGCTCTCGAGGTGTATCCACACCTCGAGAGGTGCAGACCACACTCTGCACACCTCGTCTTCTCTCATGGACCGACACAGAAACACACACACACACACACACACACACACACACACACACATGCAGGTGCACACACACAGGCACACACATTCCACACCCACACACTCAGATACACACACACTCATGCAGGTGCACACACAGATACGCACACACAGACACACACACTCTGACACCCACACACTCAGACACACTCATGCGGGTGCACACACATTCCACACCCACACACTAAGATACACACACACTCATGCAGGTGCATGCACACACAGACACACAGGCACACTCATTCCACACCCACATACTCAGATACACACACACTCATGCAGGTGCACACACACACACACACAGACGCACACACAGGCACACACACTCCGACACACACACACTCAGACACATGCATGCACAGACTTCTTGACTGACTGGACAGACTTGGTGTTTGATCTTTGGAGACCTGACTCCTTTTGATCCCAGGCAGAAAGGAATACTCTGCGAGACAGTTCTAGACAATGGAGCACACTTCTTCACCAGAAGAGGTGGGTAGGGAGCCCGGGGAAGAGCTCGCCCTCGGAGGGAGTTTTCTTCCAGTGGATCTTTCTTCTTGGTTGGGGGGAACCCACTCGAGGACACTTGAGCCACTGAACTTTCACCCGAAGGCCACTCGTTTGATTCCAGGTCTGTCCTGTTCATAACTGGCCCCAGCATCTGCGCAGGTTTCCAAATGTCTGCGAGGCGTGCTGGGCCGAGAGCCCTCCACACACCACACACACTGTCTCACAGCGTTTGCACAGCGGTCCCAGGAGGGTTTAAGACAAAATAAGTTTATATCCTAGGTTTCCTTTAGAAGTACCAGTTAGATATACTTATTAAGCAATCAGGAGGTTCAGTTCCTATATTTAATAGTGGTTACTTTTGAGGTAGTGAACACTTCTTAATCCAGGTTAAAAGTTGTACTTGCCTGCAGTGGACAATTATTGGACAAGAACGGCCCCTGTAGCACTTGTTTACTTTTCTGAAATAAAGAGAGACACAGAAGTTATGATTATGTACCAGACTCTGTAGCAGCCATCCAAACAGCCCATACGCCAAAGCAAACAGACCGGCTCTTGGACATCATTTTGCAATACCCTGTTTTGACAAAGAAGATCAAAATTATGCACACATTTTCAAAGGTTTATTTTTCTTTTCAATATTCAATTATTAAACAGAGCTTTGAAAACAATTCTTACATTTTCACAGTTTTCTTTTTCCCTTTACAAGTATGAACTCTGGCCTGAGGTCAACAGATCCATCAGTGTGAGCCTCCCCACTCCCCACACCTTGCTCTAGTTAATTTGACTTCCGTTGTTGTTGTGATATGTCTAGATTCTTCACTTAAATTTTTGAGTTTTGCAATTTACACTCCGCATTTTACAGTCTAGACGTCACATTGGAATGCAACATTACTGGGATGTCTCAAGACAGCATCTTAAAGACACTTCCTGATCTGTCAGCTTTGTAAGGATATCTAAATTACAGAGACGCCTCAATTATGTCCAAGACGCATATTTCCATTTTTATAAATCTGATTATGTTTAAAGCAACTTGTTTGTGCAGATTTTAGATTAGAATTCATGAAAATTAACAAGAAGCGTAGATTAAGATTTTGTAACCAAATCCTGAATCACTACAGAGCACTGCTAGGAAATTCACTGTATAAGCTTGATAGTTTTTGTAATTCAGTGAAACAACTAATCATGTTTACAAATTATATCCAAATTCTCAGTAAAATCTTTCTAAATAAAGAAAATTAAAGGCAGAATTTTGGTTAATTGGAGGGAAAAAATGTGTGAGGGGCGTGTGCTCTAAACTGTGCTGTGAATTTCTATGATATAAGACGCGAAGTTAAAGTTTAAAAAGCATGACAGTAGAGAAAAATCTTTTCCTTCATATGCCGGAAATGGGAAAATGTCACATTTCTCTGCAAAGGCTTGTCTGCTCAGCATGGAAATAGTTGAAAGTGGAAATTCAATCAGCGGGTTCTTTTGCTACAAACCCCTGAGACAGTGTGGGATCGGGAGGGAGTCGAGTGCTGTAGCTGATGGGTGAGCTGAGTGGGTATTTTAATGTCACATAAAATGACATTTATTGCCCAAATGTCAGAGCTCTGTTGCTTTCCTACTTCCGCTATGGAGTGAACAGAATAGGCGCTTCTGAAGGGAGACTCCACCCCCAGAACGGCACCAGGGAAGTGGCAGGAGGTGGCCATGCGGTCCACGTAAGATGTGCCCGGAGACGGCCACGCCCGGGGCCATCGGGGCAGCGGCACGTGCTCTGTGGCTGTTCCCCGGCTGAGAGCCAGGTTTCAAGCCCGGACCTCAGGGAGCCTGGGAGGTGAGGACCCAGAAACCCGGGTACAACAGGCGGCCCAGCGTCCTCGTGGCCACGGCACTGCTTCTGCTGGAGCCTGTCCTTGCTTTTGACCTACACCCCAGTGTTAGGGTTTAAGGGAGAGAAAAGGGGAAGTGATTAAGTTGAGGGAACGTCTGTGCCAGGATTCCTGGAAAGTTCTCAGCCCTTTGAGAAGAAGAGATTGGAAAAGAGATCTACCAGCTCCTTCTAAAACCTCCCATTCTCCAGTCAGGTTGTCAAGGCAACGGTGAGCTTTAGCTCCGACAGAATAGATGCCAGGCCCCAAGGACTTGTCTCCAGCGTGAGCAGTGGGGAGCCCGCCAGCCCGATGAAGGCCGTGTGTGTGCGTGTGCACGTGTGTGTGCGTCCAGGCGTGATGCACGCGCTGTGTGTGCGTGTGCGCAGCACGGAGCTTGCTCGCCCGTGAGACCAGAGCCGGGGTGGCTTACTTTTACAGGCCTTGCACCTTCAAACAGAACTTTCTCCTGGACGCTTCTCAGTCACGGAATCTTTCAGGTGTGAACCACCTCAGCTCGGCACCTCCAACACCCTGTTATGTTTCCCACCTGCTGGGCCTGTCTGTGTTTCTAAAGGCTAAACTCAACTTTCGGCCAATGCCCCGGTTTTGCTCATTTTTTCTGATGGGGCCAAGCACAAAAAAGGTACATTGAAAAAGAAATAAACACAACAACAAGATGCCCTTCTTTGAAACGTGCTGGTTGCAGGAAAGGACAGCATAAGGAAGCAACAGACCAGCCGTGCTCCATGTACAGCCGGCCGGTCGGGCCCCCTTTGGCCAAACGCAGTAGGAATCACCTCCCTGGCTAAGAAATGTGGCTAGAGAGCAAATTACTGGCTACTTTGGCCGTGACTTGCTTCTCCAGACTGCAATTCTGGTCTCTATCGTACGACGCGTTTGAAGTGTTCTTTTCTCCAGCGTGCTGTGACCGCTGCCTCGGCAGGACCCAAGAAGGTTTCAGTGTGATGTTGACACCCGTGCCAGCCCCTCCCTGTGCTAAACCTATTTACCAACAGCTACAGCAGTCAAGGAGGCGCGAGTGGAAATCCAGGTGCGGCCATGGTTTCGAGTTTTATTTACACAGAACCAGTACTTGTATTGTTACCACATAAAGCATCACAAGGAGAAAAGCAGAGGCATCACACAGTCCACCAAAGCGTTCATCTGGTCGACCCGAGAGAGAGCTGCGGATTATTCATGAAGATGAGGAATGCACAGCTGTCTGGTTTTACTTTACTGGAACAAATCATCAGTATAGACTGCAACAGGAGGCATTCGCCGAGAAAGAACGATTAGTAATACAAACCAACCCATGGGTCACTGAGTGAGAAGGAACGCCATGCAACCAACAGCAAGCCAAGGTCAGAGGTCGTTAGAGGCTCAGAAAGGGGGCTTCCCACTCTGTCCCTGCAGTACAGTCACAGTTTCCAATGATCACTTTTGTGACTATGCAACTGGGCTCATATTACTAGCTGCAACATCACAAAAATGACACTGGCCACCGCTCATTAGCTGGCAAAGTAAGGGTTGTCCATTTTTACAGTGAGCAGCGTTAGTGGATGTCATTGCACACAGCCAGGAGTGAGAGAGTAGCAGAGAGAGAGAATTCTTCTACCGCAAAGCCCTCACATGTGATGCTAATTATCACTTAGCTTAGCTGTTTCTCTTTAAAGTGTAAATGTGCTCCCTCTGGGCGCCAGAAATATTTAATTACACATCTCGGTGTCTGACGAACGCGCTCGGCCAGAACGGGAACGAACGCGGGTCTATTGTTCAGAGGGAGCTGAGCTGCCCCGCTGCATTGAAATGACCAGTGTCTGCAGAAGCCGGCTCGCCTTCCGATGGCTGACATGTGGGGCTGCTGGACACAGAAAACCACCGAGCAGCGATCCGTGTCTGAGCGCGATGTGCTCTGAGAATGTGATCGTACCCACGGCCCAGGTAGTACATGAGAGCAACCTTGTCCGCTAGTGAGGGCAGGACAGCTTTCTCTCTAACGAGATGCTCAAAACCGGGTCTGGGGTTCGCGTTCCTTTCTATTTACCGAAACCTTCTCGGGCCCTATCTCCTGGGACTCTGGAGAAATGGAATTTGGGGAATCAGATCTTTCTTCCTGACGAACTGTAAGCACAGAGGGTGGGTTATGTATTGTCCAACTCCATATATGGATACGGAGCTAGAAACACGCCCATATGCATATATGTACAGACACACTGGATGAGCACCGACACGGCAACGGCCGTGTGTGTAGCTGCATCCGTTTTGCCAGTAATGACTGTTTCTTGAAGAGTCTATCTCAGGAAATGTGCCCTAAGTAAGATTTTTAGAAATAAATTCGTATTAAGAAAATGTAAGTGATGGTCAGGCAATCGGGATGGAGTGGGTCTGTCCAAGAGCGTCCAGGACCCCCTGCCGCTCGCGCCCTCTGCCTCCCTGGGTAGGGGGACAGGGCGACAGGCGAGACGCCAAACTCGCGTCTCTGCTGGAGCTGTTTCACATGCTATTTAACACACAGGGCTATTCAAATAAAGAAATTTGTTTTGTTTTTCAAAGTGGGCTAAAAGGCAAAAGAAATAGTATCAAAATAACCTTGTGTAAGAATCTGTAACACAAATACAAGAAATCCAGAGTTATACCCGAAACCCCATCTTTATGACAACACGCCGTTCCAACCTCCCTCGAGTTACGTGTCCGTGACTGTTCAGATACAAATAGTTATCTGTTTTCCATACTTGCTAGGTTTCCACTCAGCTAAACGTAAGGGAGGTTCCAGAAAGCTCAGAACGTGGTTATGGGTGGCCTTCGACACCTTCATTTTCTCTCTAGATAGTTTTAAACTGTCAGCTTCCAAACCGCACCACAAATACACGGTACTGTGGGAACTCCAGCCAGGTGTTCGTCCAAGGTCATCCATTTCAGAAGCTGGGCCTAGCTCTCATCGCCACAGCTAACCAGCTGAGCACCCAAACGAAAACCGGGCTCTCTTCACCAATAGCCTGTGAAATTCACACCCTAGGGTCCTTCACCACTTGAAGAACCTTCTCGAAAACAATGACCACGTTTCCACAATTCTAAGACACCCATTCCGCCCTCACGTTTTAACACCTCTAAAGCCAGAAAGCGTCTTACAGTTAACGTGTGAGTTAACGTAATCTCCCCTCCCCTCCCCTATACACAACATAAATAGATTTATAACATACGAGTATTAGCAGATGACACGTCTTACAGCAAACGGCCCCTGGGACCCAGGAAACCCCTTCTCTCCGTGTCCGCACTCAGCACGCTACCCCGCCGGCGGGCCGTGGGTCTTACCTGCGGAAATCCAGAAGGGACCTCGTGGAGGCAGGCACTCCCTGGTCATACCAGCTCAGGAAGTGGAACTGCGTCACCGTGCGAGTCTCGTTGGTTTGAAGGTTCTTCAGATAAAAGCTCCTCACGAGGAAATCCTCGCACCAGATGTGTTCAGAGACCAGATGCACCTGGGCGGGGGGAGAGCGGACGGGGGTGTGTGTGTGCAGAAACAGGCGTTGGCTGGGGGCCCAGCTCAGCTGAGCGCGGAGCCACATTGCGGAGAGGGGTGGGGACCGCGGGGCACGTGGTGGGCGGGGGATGCTGGAGAGCAGCCCCGCCTACCTTCCCAATTTCAACGTAGGTTACGCAAAAGATCACTTGGTGTTTTTTTTGTTTTGTGTTTTTTAAATGTCACTCTGGGGCATAATAGTCAAATTACTGGAAAAACCTGTTACAATCCAAACGATTCATTTCTGTCTTTTCTAAGCCATGTAAACCTTCAACAAAAATCACCCGAGAAAGATTATACTTTTGAGCACAAACGCCACACGAGGTTCCACTCTCACTGACATGTCATCAGGGAGGTACCACCTGGCTGTAGAAAGAGGAAACCAAAGGCTTACACAGATGCTGCCGGGCCCTGAGCTTGGAAGCCCAGGGCAGGGACCCCAAGGCCACGACCGGCTTAGGGGGAACCTCTGTGCTTCTAACGTGGGTCCTGCTGTGGGACTTTGGCATTCTGAGTAATTTTCATGCAAAACAGGGTCAAAGGACACACTCCAGTACTGGTTTAACTGCCCAAGTTTCCTTAGTTCCTTCTTGATGTGGGCAAAAATCCAGGAGAAATGAGCTTGCCTGCAGGGGACCCTCAGATAAAAAGGCCAAGCACTGTGGACACAGACCACCGGAGAGCGGCAGGGGCTGGGGTGCAGGCGGGATGCTAAGAATTAGGGACAGTGTCAACAGAGGCTTCTTTCTGAAAAAGGACCCACTAGGGGCCTGTTTTCCAGAACCAGGCTCAACTGACCACCCAGTGAGGTCATTTTTTGGTCCTTTCTGTCCAAATTTGGATTCATAAAATTAAAAAACTGAAAACCATTTCTGCCAGAGTCCCCATGGCATAGATGACTGGAGGGTCTTGGTGTCTGTTGACCACGGGCCTGTGGACACCTCCTGTGGGGACCGACTGCACAGCAAGGCTTCAAGGGACAGTGGCTGGCGACCGCACACGGCAGGCCTGCCAGTGCCCGCCACAGCCCATGGCCCCCAAGCCCACGGCCCACGGCGGCCACCTGGGGAAGTACCTCGTAGACGTGGTAGAGGTTGGAGCCCTCGTCTGGCCAGTAGTGGTAACACTGCCTGACGCCGTTCTCCGAGAGGGGGGTCAGCATGACGATGACCACACAGCCGCTCTCCCACACCATCTGCAGACAGACAGAGACCAGTGTGAGTGGCTGAGCCCCATGACATGCGTAGTTAGTGCCCCAGAGACACAGTCCAAATCTATTCCATGCACAGGAAGTTTATTTCATTTCCATTAGACAGCGGACTCTGCAGCTGCCTTTGCATCTCCGAATATGCTGGCCCCATAATTTGCATGTTCCATGGAATATTAAAAAAAGAATCTAGTGAACTCATTCCACACCTTGTAAAACCTCCTCAGTTGTACATTCAGCTGCCTGACTCCCCCCGTGTTGGTCTGTAACGCAGGACAAACAGGTGACTGGTCCCACAGTGGGGTGGCTGGCCTGACTCGGACACATCACTTCTCCGTGGGACACAAACAGGAATTAGTGGACGTGTTCGTTTTCCAGTACTTGTCATTATTTGTGCGACTAGACAAACAGTTTGCTTTGTGGAGCTGCCATCCTATCGGAAACAGCCCTGAAAGTACTTCTTCCCAAGTGCGTTACAGCCACGAGTCCCCACCGGCGTTTTGTTTCCTTCTACCAAAATACAGCAATACTGCCCAAAGGAAAGCGCACCCCAAACCGACTTACTCATGCATAACAGCCACACCAAAACCAGCTCCGAGACACAAGAAACAAACGGACCCATGTTTAAACACCAGACGTGGCAAAGACACAAAGGCTCTCGAACTTGGCTTCTTTTCAGACAAAACTCCCAACGTGCGGCCGTGAGCCTACGTGCTTGGAGCATTTTTGCTAAAACCGCTGATTCTATGGGTTAAACGTAAGGGATAGAAATAGTCAACATTCTTAAGGCCCCTCTTTGTGTATCATCTATAGTGGAATTCAAGGGGACTTGCTGCAGTGTTTACAAAAAAGCCCACATAAACGTGAATTACGCTCAAACCCACATGCTTTCCTTCTCTTTAGTGCAAATCCAACAACATGAGAATTCAAAGCCAGCGCCCTGCTCTAAGCTTCTCAGGCCTCCAGACCTACCCGCTGATCTGTCCTCCTAACGCGTAGCAGTTTAATGTGCCTGGAGAAGGTGCAGAAGCCTAGTGAAACCATTACGAAAATAGGAGAAACACAGATTTTATGAGTGTAATAAAAATACAATGATCCAGGCCATAAACTAATCATCGAGGCTCTGCTTGTGGCCCCCAGGAGTGGCGTTAGGAAGGCCCTCCCCCACCGAGGTCCTTCCGTCTGGGGACCCGCCTGGCTCTCTGAAGGTTTGGTTAAGAGTGAATCTAAATGAAATAATTTAAACGAACAGCCCCAAAGGCCCTCCTGGGGATAATACTTCTTCTGAGGTCACTGTGTGAAAGCAGACAGGGGAACTGACTAAATCAAACCGATCTCAGCCCGCGTGGGCACCAGCATCACAGGGCGGCTCCCACCCCACCAGCCCTGCCCGTGGCCTGGAGCCTGTGCGCGGGGCGACAGCCGCCTTCGCCACCTTGTCCGGTCTCCCACCGCGCTGCCTGGCCAGCTGGACCCCCGAGCACGCCGGGAAAGCTGCGGCGGGTTTCGGAGGAGCTGGTGGAAAGCCCAGCTGAGCAGGTTCTGCTTCTGAACAGGAGACTGCACTCCCACCCTCTTCCTTGGCCTGGTTTTGCAGGGTCATGCCTGGCGTGAGGAAGACGCGATTTCTGTGCCCAATCTCTGAGAAACCTACTACATCTTTCTCTTCGAGGAAGTAAATAACGACCCGGATTCCCTACCAGATCTTGCTGCGGTCCACTGAAGCCAGCGCTCTGCTGAATTAAGGTGCGATGGTTGAATGCCAGGAGTGCCGCTTCCCAGCACTTTCCGTTTGATTCGACGTCAGACAACACAGCATGCGCGGTCGCCTCCCGGTTCACTGGGCACCTAGCACGGGTCAGGCCATCAGAGGCCACGGCAGGGGTGGGGAGAGAGGTCCTGGCCATAACAGTCCTTTACTGGCATAAAGTGGGTTCCTTTTCCCGAACAGGAAGCAGGTGCTGTCAGCCCTGGGTCAGAAGAAAGCTGTCAGCGTGGATTAAACGTGGCCTTCCATGTGGGATCCCGAGGATAAGTCCCTGGTGCTGCGTTTGGAGAAGAACCGGAAATGCCCCCCTTTTCGTGAGCTTCTCCTAGAACGCACCAGCACAGGCCAGGGAAGCCCACCCTGAAGGCACGTTATCACCCCGCACACAGGGGTTGTGGGCAGGAGTGGCGGGACCACCGGTGGTGACGTGCCCACCGACTTCTTCACTGGTGGTGGTGTCACAGGGGTCGGGGTGGCCATCTCCGAGGTCCTGGGCTGTCATAAAACACTCCAGCTACACCCCGCCACCCATGCCTGTGCTCCCAGCCCCAAGTGGCACTCAGAGGCCACCCAGAGAAGGAACACATGGTGACAACGCAGCTGGTGCAGCTGAGCCTGGGAACCTGTTCATGGTCATCAGACCCAGGCGAGTGGAGAAGGTCACACGCAGCAGTAGTTCAGACCGTCGGCCCAAGTGACGTGAAATACATACTCTGGAGGCAATTTGATCCAACTGAGTAATTTACAGATTGGTGGTTAAAAAACAAACACCGTATCGCTCTTTGCAACCCCGCAGGGGTTGAACTTTGTCCCCTGAAAAGACATGCTGACGTCTTAACCCCTAGCACCTTATGAATGCGGCCTTATTTGGAAAGAGGGTCTCTGCATACGTCATAGAATTAAAAAGACAAGGTGATTCTCCATCAGGGAGGGTCCTAATCCAACACAAGAGGAGGGAAACACCATGTGAACACGGGCTGGGACTGGGGAGACGCCGCCAGGAACACTCGGGGCACCTAAAAGCTGGAAGGTCCTCCTCTCAGAGCTTCCGACGGACAGCAGCCCTGCCGGTACCTGGATTTTGGACTTCCGGCTTCTAGAAGTGAGAGAATACACTTCCACTGTTTCAAGCCGCCCAGTTGGTGGAAATTGGTTATGGCAGCCCCAGGAAAGGAATACACGCACTGATACCCGCCCTCTACTCCAGCCCCAAATCATCCACAGGGGTTGAAAGGCATCAGCACCAAGTTCCTTATATTAAGCTAATTAGAGCAGATGGAAAGAAACCACAGGGTCTCTTCATTCCAAGTCTTTCCTGAGCACCAAGTGTTTAGCAAACAAAACTCTTCCAAAGCCCCGCTGAGACCCGATTAAAGGCAAGGCAATCCACCTGAACGGGTAAAAGGCCAGGGTTTCTTCTGCAAAGCACTCTGGTCTCTCCCGGCAGGAAGCTTCTCCTCCCTTTACCTGGATCTCTTGTGATGAGCCCCTTTCCACCTTGTACTGGCCTCGTCTGTGTTGGCACGACTTTCTACTACCAGACTGTCATCTCCTTGAAGACTAGAGCCTTGTCTGGTTGCCATCTCTACCTCCAAGGCATCTGGCACGGGGACTTATTACAGTTGATGCTTAGTTGAAAACAATACATATTTTAAAAAGAGATCCTTTGAATAGTTCCGTAAAAAGAGAACTCAGAGAAAATGCTATCAAAGGCTCGCCTGACAGAAGTGCTCCTAGGACTCGCTCAGTGCACAGAAAAGTGGTTTTTTCGAAGCACATGCGCTGTCTGCACGCCCACTGCAGCTGCCACTGTAGGAAGTGGGGCAGCTTTTCTCCAGACCAGGCCGAGCCTCCTCGCCACCCCGCCACACGACCCATTTCCGCTGCCAACTTCCTTTCAAAGGTTGAACGGAGATCAGCTTAAGCCTGGCGATGAGGTGCTGACAAACTTGAAAACGATAAGGACTCAAAGAGGTCTCGGAGCGCTTGCATTTTGTGTCCGTCAGCTGTGACCGCGTGCTCTGAAGTCTATTAAAGAAGAGAAACAGCAGTGTCTATGGTACCTTTCGCAGCGCAAACGCCCAGCCCCGCTCTCGCCCCGTCCAGAGGACGGTCGTAAGAAACGTGCCATTAAGCCCTTCCAGACTCTGGTCTGCTTTGGCTACACAGTCACAGGCCCTGAGTCAAACTGTGAACGCCGGGGGCGGCGGCCTGGCTAAATGAGGACGAAGGTGCTGAAATCTCGATCACATCTTCCAGGCGCGACTCACACCCACCTGGTTTGCTTCTCAGTAAACAAAGCTGTCAGCGTGGGCCTCCCTTGGAGACAAAACCCTGAGGTAACGGTAGCAAAGCCGATATTAAATGCTGACACCCAGGAAGGGCTGAGCAGGCAGGAAGGCACCTCCCAGCTATTAAGATCGGAGCCCAAGCCAGTCTCGACTCTGGATAAACTGCGGCAGCCACCTCTGGACGTTTTCCACCAGCAGGAAGGAGAAACCGTCTCCATGAGAGGTACTTGGCGTTTCACTGGAACCGAACAAAGACAGAACAGCCTGCTTGTGCGTCAGGCAGAGGCGATGTGGCTGGCGTGGCCATTCAGCGTTTCCACAGCGAGGCCACTCACACACCAAGTCGCCTGTTCATCCGAACTTTGTGCCGTTGCTGCGGAGGTGTTTATGTCAGGTATCTGGCTGTATGGGGAGACACCTGGGCCCGGACTCTTGTCCCTTAGAATCACTTACAGCTCCCTGGCCTGCGTTCGTGTTTCAAATTTAATGCGCACGTTGACTTCTTAGGTAAAGAAAGTGCTCCTTAGGCTGCCATCCTTCTTTTCAAAATCAGGACCTGATGTAAATGCATCAGGAGAAGGAGGGAGGAGAAAAAAGAAGAAAGAAGAAAAAAACAAAGAAAGAAAGAAGAAAGGAAAGGCAGACTAAGGAAGCAGTAGTACACAGAAGAGCAAAGTGTTCTCAGCTGAGGTCCACAAAAAAGGAAACTCAGGCTGTGTTTCTTACCCGAGCCTGAGCGAAGGCTCTGCCCCGTGTCTGGTGCGAGGACGCCCGGCCGGGCTCACCATACACGACCGCGCACAGCCCTGCGCAGAGCACGGTCTCCAAACCCACGTTTACACGAGATGATCTGACAAAGGTTTCCTTTTATCTTTAAAGGTTTGTGAATTCATGTATGGAGAATTCAACCAGACTAAATATTTGAGGCA